CCAAACTGAAACTTATAATACCAAATGGATATATTTTGCCCTCAAAACTACGCAATATAATTTAAGTAAGTTGATATAAAATAAATTGAAACAGTTTGAATTTAAAAAAAAAAACGAAAAACAACTCAATATCAGACATGATTTTTTTTATCAATATATGATTTTTTTATCTAGCAGCCATCAACGTTTTTGAAGGCTTCCAACTCGACCAGATACAAAAATAAGGATCTCATTGCAGAATTAGACAACTTCTCGAGGCAAAAAAAAACATTTCGGGCATTATTATACCGGAATGGGTCATGAACGATAATTTGATTTCAAACATGTTACATGGCTGAAAACTGCGTTTTAAATTAAACAGAAAAAATTTCAAAATTCAAGTGAAATTAAGATTAAAAAAATTATAATGCACATTGAAATTGGCAACTTTTTCTGGGCTTTGAAATTGATTACACTTTCAATCCTCCCAAATTAAAAAGAAAAAATTTTTCAAAAAGATAAGATTGCGAACGAAAGATTGGAACAAGCTGGGCAAAGCTTTGTGCTACTGTTTTCAGTAACAAAAAAAAAACAAGTAGTTCTTTTCAAATCGGAAGGCGTTAGACAAAAAATATAAGCCTCTCTTACGTATCACTTAGACACTAAGAAACTAGTGTATTGACGTATAATGAAAAAATCGTTTAACTTATATTCGTATAACCCGGTCAGCGTATAAAGTATAATCGTAAATTTTGGCTTTCGTATAAGAAAAGGTATAATCGTACAGCCTGACATCAAAATCCCCACTCAATTACACTAACCGCTCAAGGCTCATTAGATTGTTTTTGCTGCTCGAATAAATTTTTGCCGAAAAATCTGCGGTTGCTTTCAAAAAATTTTTATGTTGGATTTCAGCCGCCTCTAATGTCAATCAATCTTGCAGTACTGAATGAAAAAATTGTCGTGCTAATTATCGGTTTCTTATAATCGTATAATTTATCCTATAAGTCTGATCTTTCGTATAATCTTATAACGTATAATTTGACGTACATCGTTTAACGTGAACAATAATACAGTAACAGAAGAAAACACAATCACCTCATCTACCTATATTTGGGCAATTAATGCCTGAGTCAAAGTACGTTGCCTGAGCCAAATCTATGAAACTTGGTACACTAAATAAAGCTAAAAAAAAGAAACAAAAATCAAGTAAAAAAATTAAACATTGTAGTTAAAAATGTTCAAGTCGAATATCTCAACACTAAAAAGCAGTTTTCTCATATAATAGCTTTGAGTTTTGACAACCAAAACAAGCTAGGTCAAAAAATCGAATAAGATGTAATAAAGAAAACTAGTGTGCAACGCACCTCCGATGCTTCGTATTTTAAACAACTCATAAAAAACCGCATATATTGGAAATAAGATCTGCAGCCTTTGAAAGTACTCTGACAGCACCCAAATAAAGGCTTGGGATTTTCAAACTTTGTAATTTTTTTTCAAGATTTTTCAATTCAAATTTTTTATATTTAAAATCTTCAAAAAATTATAAAATGAATTAAGAAATTTCACATCTGGGAAACAAATGCAAATGAGGAGTCGTTGGGAATTTCAAACTTTGAAAAACTTGAAACTTAAGTTTTCTACAATTTTTTTGAAAAAGCATAAAGAAGTCATATCTCGAAAACTACCCAAAATTGAGTAATCAAAATCGCAGGCAAGATTTGGAACCCCTGAGAGTACTCTGACAGCCCCCAACAACAGAGTTAGGATTTTCAAATTTTGAAAAAAAAAGTTATTTAAATTTTCTGAATTTTTTTTTTGAAAAATCAGAAAAAACGTCATATCTCGAAACTACAAGGACTTGAGCTGTCGTATTTGGAGGCAAAAATTGCATCTCCTGAGAGTAACCTGGCAAAGCTTCACTACAGAGATGGGAACTTCCAATTTTTTGAAATTTTCTATATCTAAATTCTATTAACAATTAAAAAAAAAGACATCAGAACCCTAACATCTTGGAAAATAAGGGCATTTGAGCAGTGCATTTGGACGCACCATTTGCAATTTGGATCTCTTGAGAGTACCCTCAAAGTACCCAACTGAAAAGTTCGGAAATTCAATTTCGATTTTTTAAAATCTAAGTTTTCTGAAAAAAAAACATGTCTTATCTTGAAAAGTACAAGGATTTGAGCAGTCATAATGGTAGATTCGCAATCCTTGAGAGTACTCTGACAGCACCCAACTACAGGGTTGGAACCTACAAGTTTTTGTTAACTATTTTGTAATTTGAGTTTTGAAAAGAACCTTGACAATATGCCACTATTGAGCTGCTTATTTGAAACTCGTTGAAATAAACTCTGAATTCAAACTGGAAAATCGAGAAAAAAATTTTTAGCCATTGCAAAATACGATATAGCTTGAACCTGAAAAATTCTTTCGTTAAACATGCAAAAAATATATGTTGAAAAAGCTTAAACACGGCGAGATAGTAAAGACCGCATTTAAATATATAATAGATTAACTGGAAGATTTATCCTATAATTGAAAAAAAGAATGATTAGCAAACAAAGAATCAGCCAAAAAAATTAATATAAAAATGTTTTCTAGAGATCTGACAACACGCGTTGAACGATTATAAAACTTAAAATAAATTATTTCGAAAATTAAATAACTATGCTATTTAGTTTTCAACAAGTAATTGTAACTAAAATTAGATTGAGTGTCATCGAGTCGATGTCAATATCACGCCTATTTAAACAACCGAAAGAAACCCTGTTTTTTTAGTACACTTATTTTTCTCAACTATGATACCAACCATTAGTGACAGGTGAATTATCAGCTAGAGTTTTTCTTTATTGACTACATTTTTGCCAACATTTTGTTGATTACAATTTTACTTGACTACATTCTTGACTACGCTTTTGACTGAATTCTTGACTACGTTTTTGCCTACAAAACTCCACTTCATAAAAATTTGGCGGAAACAGCATCCAAAATTTTGTTTCAAATGTCTTCAAAATTAATTGTCTAGTATTTAATAATATACTTATTCCATGTTTAGAGAGCTTTCATTAATCCAGTCAATTTTGGTATAGAAAGTAGGAGAAAAACGTATTAATGACAAGGAGACAGGTCTGATCTAGACAAGGAATTTAATAAAGAGCACAACAAGCAAAATGGAAGCAATTTGGCGAGTAATTGAACGAATTAGGCGCTTAACGAAATTTTGTTTCAGAAATTGCTTGCACTCAAATCGACAGAGGCAAAGCTGCGCTTCGCAAACACTAGCGAAACACGGCAAAAAAGCAGCTTAATCAAGTGAAATAAGAAAAAATAGAAACAAGCCTCGAAGTAGAAGAACTTTGCTACGCATCAGATTCCAACCGGTGACCTCGAGATTTGGAGTCTCACGCCCTGCCCACTCGGCCACGAACGCTTAACAACCGACAAAGACTAGTCTAGTCGCGAATAAAGCAGCTATATATGCTAATAAATTACCAATGCGATGCAACAAAAGTGTAACCAAATACAAATAGACACAATTTGGCATGTAATAATTTGGAATATAACAAAGTGAAAGCATCCCTGCTAACCTTGCATGTAATAAAATCGAAAGATTAAAGCTAAATTATTCATAAGTTGGGCATTTCAAAAATATTGCGAGGTTTATTGAGTTGGAAAATTTCTGAACTAGAAATTTTAATATTCTGATATTTGGGGCAAATAGCTTTTTCGGTTCATTTGAGCAATGAGAAATGCATCAACTGTGTTAACTTAGTGTTAACTAATTGAATGTCGAAGCATATGTATCATAAAGCTGTAAAGGTGCCCCAAACAAAGCACCAATATTTGCGACTTAGTTTAGGAAAACGAATAGTCGTAATATTACACTACGTAGCCAACTAACAGCTGGAAAAGATAACTGAACGTGGAGAAACAGAAAAAACTGACTTGAAACAGAAAAAACTGGCTTTCAACTTCTTTGATTTTCTAAATTAATTTATTTTTGACAATTTTTTAATGAAAGGAACCCAGTTTGAGAAAACTGGATCAAAACGTAGAGATTTTATTGCGCTGGGAAATCTGATAATTAAAGACCACATTCGAAACTAAAAGTCGATCGCGTTTTTCGTGACCTTTACACTTCTAAGTCCACCTTTAGGCAAACTCCACTGCTGTTCGATAGTGGAGTTTGCCTTCCTTTTAATAATGGAAATGCACTGGACTTAGAAAGAAATCCCAAGTCAAACCGCGAAAAATCAAAACTAAGCGTGAACAAATTTTCCTGAAAAAAAAATCACCAAAACCTATATAATAGTCTTCACTACGTTCATTACTCTTAAGCATAGAAAAAAGTGGCGAATAATCTCTGCAATATAAAGAAGTAATCGATTACATTATTAAAACCTCTTCTGCTTGATTGGGCCAACTGATCTAGAAGCAATCTAGACTTACCACATTTAATAACAAATATCATGCTCTCTTAAAAAAGCGGACAAAACAAGATATCAAATCCTCTAGCAATGAAATTGAGCGCCAAAATTGAGTACATATTTCAGTAGTAGTTAGGTTCAAAAAGGTTATCTCGTATTATAGTTAATGCCAAATTGTTGGCAATATCGGTGACCTTGAACAATTTAATCGGTCAAAAATTACAGCTTATAGGTTAATTAGTTTTTTGGAAATCGTTTTTGAAGTAAAATCAGTGAGAAGCTAAAACCCGACATCGAAATGAGCCGTTTTAGGTTAATTTACTTCGATCAGATTCGTTGACCGAAAAGGATATTTCCAACAATTTGGAATTAACTATACAACGCAAGCGTTTGCTTGTCTCAACAATTCGGAAAAAAACGCAAATCGGCCAATTTCAAACTTAGACAACTCAACCAAAAATGCCCAAGCTAATCGGCCACAGACAATTCAGCCAAACTTTCATTTTAAAACACTAGATTTTTTTTTGCTGCTATGCGGAATAATGAGTGCGATTCAATTTTCATACCAGTCCTCTGAAACTGTTCAAAATATTGATTCTAAGGTTTGAATTTAAAACACGAAACTGATAGAGAAAAATCTAAGAATGATTTGCTAAGGTGATAAAATCAAAATAATAAACTAAATTCATTTCAACAGTTATGGGCGGAGTTTGATATGACAGCAGCCTCTGTTTTGATTCGTTTATCGGGCGACTTGAAAAACACCACAGTTACCACTCCTATCAGACATATGTAGGCGGCTAGTACCAGCATCGAGACTAAAACATTCAGCTGATGTCTCACTGCAAAACATCCAACTGATCCCAAACGTCCGAAGGAAGTTAGACTATTTAAAATCTTATAACCGTTTTAAATATTTAAAAATATATATAAACACAGACAAAAACGACAACCCGACTGTCAAACTCTGAATTGAATATTCTGTTTACGGTTCACTGTATGGTTTTTCTGTCCAATCAAAGACATTTAAGAACGTGGCGCTCGTCACTTTTCATTCGAGCCAAAACACTCATTCAAAAAAACTTCAAGATTTTTTTGGAAAAGATTACCAAATGGTTAAGATGAACTGCGTATAATTGGTATTATTTAGTGATTTGACTAGAAATTTGTGTTAATTTGTTTCAGGACAAAATATACCATGCCACAAGACGATTATGTCAGGAGATATCTTTCGGGAGAGGTATTCTGGAATGGAATCTTCAGGTAAGGGATTTTAAGTCATGTAAGCAACTTTTTGCTATTTTATTCAATTGGTTTATGTACTAAACACTCCATAGATTGCTACCGAGCTATTACGGGTATTTTTATATAAAGGATCTTAATTAATCGACCAAGACTTCCTGGGATCTCAGTGGAAGGAATCTTACGTCATTCAAACACTGTTTAGTTTTATTCTTGCTTTGTTCTTATGTGTTATGTAATAATTACTCCATAGGTCGCTCTTGTTCTAATGTGTTATGTAATAATTACTCCATAAGTCGCTCTTGCCCACTCCCTCTGCACACACTTGTATATGTTCCTGCTTCTCCGTCAAGTCCTGTCCCAACAGAGGAAGGCCCACCAACATCACGATCCCAATCAGCTGACTACATCACGCAATGTTCACAATAATATCGACAACATCAATCAACCACGACATGTAATAACGTTACAAAATACACTAATGGTTACTGAAATACAAGATTCGAAACGCGAATGGCGAAGTTAACCTAGAACGGCATGAACAGCCTGTGAGTTGAAATGTCAATTTATTTGAGCTAAGTCAAAAATTTACCTTTTAGAGTATAAAAATAAATCCTATTTTACGCGATCACATCGATTGATTCAATCATGCTTATCTCGGGTCCAGTATTTTCTTTCAGCTACACGGCTGTTTTAATTTGTGTTTGTTATTTACCCGGCTAAAATGACGATTCCTGAGCTGGCCGATTCGGACACGGGGTACGTGCACTCGACTGACAACTCTAGTGCGATGGGGAAGAGGACAAGCCCGAAGAATCCGAACCAGCCCACTCCCAGCAGAATGAACACTGAGTTGTCACTCTTAGTCGCCGCCTGCAACGGCCAAAAAGTAGCACGTGTCACAGATATTGACACTTTTTGCGTATTTGACCTCGAAAACTATGTCCAGACAATTCCACTCTAAGACTAGTCAAGTTAAAAATCTGTAACTTGGTTTACATAAGAATTTTACTTGGCCATTTTTCGTGGCTGGTTAATGTTGTTTTTTCACCCGCAAGCAAGGATGACGTATTTTAGTTGACAGCAGTTCACGAATATTTCAAACGATACTCAGAGCTCACGATATCAAAGCAACATGTCAGTGGACTCTTAGAAGTCAAATCCTTTCAAACATCTAAGTCAAACTACCGCGCACAACCTTCCATGATTGGATTTTTGGAAAAATTTAAAAAAAAACTTAACAAATTACCCCTTCTTGTAAACCAATTTATTATATTCGCTTGAGCTACAGCTCTTATTTCACTCCATAATGGTGCTGTTCTTTTCAAATTAGCTGTACAGTCTAAAAATGAACTGCCTGGAAAAGGAGCAGTATAGGTCAAAATATTGTAATTATTACCCAGGCAAAGAGAATGACTCCAAAACACGCTAAGAGGTAGCAAGTTTTATAGATGAAGTCGAATTTTTTCGTGCAGTCTGCTATAGTTCCGAAGATCGCAGCGCCAACACAGCCACACCCTATCGAAACTGTTGACGCAATTCCAGAAAAGGTCTAAAAGGCGAGAAGTTTAAAAGACCCGACAAAACGAGTCACGTGGAATTCGAACTTGGTTACGGGAAAAACATGGTTACCTCTAAATTTGATCTTAAAAATTTTGAGAAAAATTGAAGTTGCTTTAAAATATTTTTGAAAGCGTGAAAAAGCTTAAGTTTAATAATTGGGTCATTAAAATATATGAAGGTCTAAAAAAGCTCTCAAAATAGGTGTAGTTGAGGTTTATAAGATAGGAAGATCTCTAAAAGCTAAAATGATTGCGTAAAAAATCGAGTGACCGACAAAATTTCATATTTGTTTTTTTTTAATGGCCCAATTTTCATACTAGTGACAATAAATACAATATCATTAGGACGCTTTGCTTGAGTGATTAGGCTAAAGCTACTATCAAAGAATATTAAACCATATTCCGTACACTTTGATACTTTCTTCTATAGTAGCAAATCACACAAGCGAAGTGGAGTAAAACTGTAAGCTGTAAACTTAAAGACGACCAAAGAGAGACGTACATCAGTGTATCCGTTGACACAGAGCACTTGTTCTAATAGGGCCACAAGGGTACTGAAGGCTGCCAGGCCAGTGCCAAACGACAACATCAGGAACCAGAACTGCTTGCTCCGAAGACACTTAAATGACGTAACACACTCAAATCTCAAGCACAGTTCAAGGAAAGAGCAACACCCTTTAAAAAATCTAAAACTGACTGATTTTCACGCTTATTTCTTTCGTATTATACTGAATTGTGATTGGCTAGCATTATTGTCGGGCATTCGGCCTTCTGGCATGACAGATTCCGCCACTGAATGACGACAAGATGAAACCAGGTCCATGTCCAAGTTTAGTTTTGATGATATTGGACAAAGGGATGGAGGGGGGGGGGGGGACATTTCAGACAACAATGACTAAATCTAAGCGCAACCACTAACGTTCACAATCATCGCAGTCTCAATTTATTATGTGGCTGTATAACGAGAAAGTGATAGCTTGACCATATAATTGAGACTCCGATACCGAACGTTATCCAAATCAAGTTCCAGAATGAACAGCATTGCTCTAGGCTTTTTCTTATCTGCATGTGAATTCACTTTTCTGCTCATTAAGAAGTCCACCTACTTGGGACATGCTGTCTTGGAAGCCCATTGAGGCTACCGCTCCGCTGGCCGAAGGCGCAATTGGAGGATAGCTTCCGGTATTGACAAATACAACACACAGTATTGCTGGAATAACACTTGGTAGGCTCCAGATTACAACCTGAAGACGAAAAAACAAATAACCAACAAAAACAACGCCGTAGACAATGATTATCATGATCATGTTGAAATATGAAAGGAACGGTGGAATACATGAAAGGAAAAAACAAAATGAACTCAAAACTGACCATATTTGTGACATTTTGAGCAACTCCATTGACAATGAAAGGCGTGGCCAAGAAAGCTATCATCAGGCCGACCTCATTGGCTGAAACAATGAACCAGTCAAAGCTGTCAACAGTAAAGTCATCCTTCTCAAATCAGCAGATTGAGCCGATATACAAACGAGCCGAAATGAGCCTCTAGCACCAACCAGTCAAACATCACGTCAGCTGTGCATCGCACTTAAGTCAAGTTTAAAATTTATGCCAATTATCTCACCTATTTATAGTTCATGCCAAATTGTTCACAATACCGATGACTTTGCGCTTCTTGATCCGCCAGAAAAGTGTAGACTTTGGATACTTTTCGGGTGGTAAAACGGATTAAAAACTGGATCAGGCGTCATATGAAAAATTTGTGTTATTCGACACTTCAGAATTGTTGACAGCTCTGTGGCTTCAATTATACAAATCTCACACAACGATTACGTAACTGTTTGTTTTTGTTTTTTTGGTTGGTTCCAGTTATCATGTTACAACTTGTTTGTATAGCGGTTGCTTTGAATTATTTATTTCTCCCTACCAATTGTTCCTGCCGCATTTGCGATTGTCCTTTCGTTGGGGGCGAACCAGTAGGCCGCTAACTTAGTCGGCTGAATGAGAATGAATGATTGGGCCACTGCTGTTATAGTCTGACCCACGAAAAGAACTACAAACTGGGTGGCGGGGTCTTCGAATAAGTAGACACCCGCTATTCTGAGACCCCCGCCTAGCAAGTTTATTAAAGCGGAAGATATCATCTAAAAACACAATACATTGCCAAGCCTCACAGAAACCAAAATTCGAATGTTTGATTCTCTATTACCCAAAAACCTTGTTGAATCTAATGGCTTGAATGCATCATAAACAAAGAGCAACAAGCGTTCGATTTCGATACCCTTGCTAGTGAATAGATTTGAACTTTCGTACATAGGATGTTTTTTTTTTCATTTCTAAGCAGTTTTGGTGTCATCTAAAATGCCTCAACTAGATTCAATTACTCTTCAATTCTAGCATTACATAGACAATGTTCTCTAGAAAGTAACTTATTCGCTCCTGGACGAAAGGATTTAGAAAAAAATTGTTTTTCCTCTTAGGTGAAATTTATTCGGCGCCATCTTTTCTTATCTACTGTTCTGTTTTTGTCCTTACGAGTGGTTTGAGGCCCCATTTCTCTGCCATGTAAGAGCCGACGAAGTTGAAAGGGATGAATACGACGAAGTAGACTACAGTGAGCATGTTGACCCATGTCAAGGACACTTCAAAGTAGGAAGCGGTGGTGTCTGCCACGGGAGCGAAACAGATCCACATCTAGAGAACAGTTTCGGTTCACATTCAGTTCACACTCCATTGCCATAATTTAGTTCACACTTTACGGCCATAATTAAGTTCACACTTGACTGCCATAATTAATTCACACTTATCTCTTTGTCATATTTAAGTTCACATTTTTCAGTCATATTTAAGTTCACACTTAACGGCCATATTTAATTTCACACTTTACGGTCAAGTTCACTCTTTCTGCTCATAATTAAAACTAAGTGTGGGAGGCGAAATTAGCAAACAGTTCGGTTGCGTTGCTTCCATTTGTCTGTTTCAATATACATTTTTTAGTCCCGATGTGTTTATTGGTTTGTAGCATACCAAGCTATCAATCAAACTAGTACGGAAGCATTTTGCAATAACGAACCGCAAAGACTTAAATACAATCTGATAATTAGCTTTTTTCTATTGGTCTTAACTTCATAGGATCACTCAACCTATAAAAACGAAATAGTCGCGGCATGCGTAAAGCTTTCATTTTATCCTCAATGGTATTTGTAATCTCATTCACAGAAGACTAACTCAATCATACCGTTGCGTTTGTGTAATTGAGGAAAAACACGATTGACAGTAAAATCCATCTTCGCCTGTAGAGCTCAAACTCGCCTCCCCTCGAAACAGCTGAGGCTGTGAGCAGGTCCTGAAATGTTACGAGGAGATTGTCCACCAATTTTCTAATAACTAACAAAAGATCCCGAAAAATTTTGACATCCAAAGGCATATTATTCCTACCACGACACGGAGTCACAATAAGGAACTATGGCATGGGGTTTTTCTCTGGCTGAATTTGAAGAAAAAAAAACTCGTAAGGGTATTATCAGCATCGGCACAGGGAATCAAGTGTTCATTATATAAATCAATTATTTAAGGTATATAATTCTTTTTTTTTTGCAAAGTCAGTGTTTTGAAGGTTATACGATATACAGTGCTGATGTAAATTAACCGGACAAAATATACAAAACTCGAATGTTCAAACGCATTTTTCTCAAATTGGGTTTAAATTAGACAAAAAATGAACAGAACTAAAGTTGCTTAGAATTTCACCAAAATTAATATGATGCAATTTTTTCTCCAAAATTCTCAACCAAAACTTTACCCCAAAAATGGGTCATTTTCGCTTTTTTCAATTAATCAAAAATTACGCTGAAACTACTTTAGTAACTGATGAGAAATATATATCAAAAGAAGCCTCTTACACAGCCCAACAAAGTTCTAGAAGGGTTAAATCTCCAGAAAACCTGTATTAGAGAAAAAAAATTTGCGTGATAGTCAAGAAACGTGATTTTTACTAAATAAAACCCAAAATTTTTGCTCAAAAACATATTTTAAACAATTTACTACTCAAAATTTTGGAGATTCACCCTTTCTAGGACTTACTTGGGCTATGATACATATTTATCATCAGTTACTAAAGTAGTTTCAGCGTAATTTTTGAATAATTGAAAAAGCCAAAATGACCCATTTTTGGGGTAAAATTTTGGTTGAGAATTTTGGAGAAAAAATTTCAGCATATTAATTCTGGTGAAACTCTAAGCAACTTTAGTTCTCTTGGCTTTTTGTCTAATCTTAACCCAATTTAAGAAAAACGCGTTTAAAATTTCGAGATCTATTCGTTTTGTCCGATTAATTGAAATCAGCACTGTACAACAAATTATCCGAAAAAAACCCTTAATGAAATAAATATATACGATTATACCAGAGATCAGATTCATACGATAAAATCATATACGAAACGGATAATGGCACGATTCTTTTCTGGTATGATTTTTTCATTGAGTACTGCAAGATTGATTGATATTAGGGGCGGCTCAACTCCAACGTCAAAATTTTTTAGAGTGATCAGAGATATCTATTAATGATTAAAGCAGCTACATATGCTAATAAAAAGCCAATGCCATTCAGCAAAAGTGGCACTAAATACTAATAGACTCAATTTGCAAGTAATAAATTGTAATATAACAAACTGAAGGCATCCACACAAATTTTGCATGTAGCAAATTGCAAAAAACAAAGCCACATTATGTATGCATTTCCAAAAAAATGCGAGATATACTGATGCGAGCGGGGCTTGGCAGCACTTGGGTTACAAGGCAAGCATAGCAATGCAAACTGGCGAACAGAAAACGATACTGGAATAATTAAGTTTAAAAAAAACATTCCTTAGTGTACCATCATCTGAGCTTGTGAGGCGCATTTATGGAACCAAATACAGATCAGAAAGTCCCCGTCTTCTCTGTTTCAACTGCGAGCGTTACACGTGTGTTTCCCATCGTGACTACACAACTACACCCCAGTTTCATTACGCGTGGCCTTCAGTCAATTGGCACTGGCTAAGTACCAGCGAAAACGAAGCTGAGAAAATATGGAACATATTACCCTGGCGCCTCCGGTATAGTTGGTTTCATTACGCCGCCTAACAGAAGTTGTTGTTTCTTTTTGAAAAACAAAAACAAAAACTCAGTTTCAGAAAACAGTCGATAAATACAAGTAATATAAAAAAATAAGCTTCTAGTAGTTACTGAGAGACTATTACGCCAATAAAAACGTAGATGAAAACTCATCGAGCCAAAACAATACTAAATGAGCCAAAAACGATCAGAAATTGTTGTCATAAAAAAGTTAAGAGCGATTAATTTTTGAAACAATAAAATTTTGAGAAACAGTAATATAAAGACAACCGAATTAAAAAGATTTTGAACAAAAATCAAACGACACAAAATAACTTCAAACAAATCAAAATATTTTAACTAAGACAATAAAACAAAACCGGAAACCAGTTATGCCAAAAATAGCTTTCATGCGAAGTAAAACAAACAAAATCAGGCTGAATAAATTTAAAAATTACAACAGTAAAATAAAAGCACATGCTATTACAAAAAAGCTTTCATCTGAAGAAAACGTTCGTGATGTGACAGCCCAGTCAAAAACAAATAAATAGACACACGAACGTCCAAAAATTCAATTTTTCCCGAACATACTGGAATAAAACAAGGTCTGACCGGGACTCGAACCTCAGACCATAGAGCACAAAGACAACTAGGTTACCTCTACACCAAATGCGAAGGAGATTGGAAAAATAATAAGTTTCAATAATAAAGCAAAAACTATTTTTTGCAGATTTGTAAAAGTTATTTACGAGGAAAAAGTCTAGCTCCCAATTATAAGACACTTGCTCTCGCAAACTTTCAAAACAGCAATTTCGTGAGAAAAAACGCGTTTGAAATTTCTAGATCTATTCGTTTTGTCCGATTAATTGAAATCAGCACTGTACAACAAATTATCCGAAAAAAACCCTTAGTAATATAAAATTATAAGATTATACGAGCAATCAGATTCATACGATTAATTCATATACGAAACGGATAATGGCACTTTTCTTTTTTGGGATGATTTTTTCATTGAGTACTGCAAGATTGATTGATATTAGGGGTGGCTCAACTCCAAGGTCAAAATTTTTTAGAGTGATCAGAGATATCTATTAATGATTAAAGCAGCTACATATGCTAAGAAATAGCCAATGCCATTCAGCAAAAGTGGCACCAAATACTTAATGGACTCAATTTTGCAAATGATAAACTGTAATATATTAAACTGAAAGCATCCACACAAACTTTGCATGTAGCAAATTGCAAAAAATAAAGCCACATTATGTATAAATTATGCATTTCCAAAAAAATGCGAGTTATATTGATGCGAGCGGGGCTTGGCATCACTTGGGCAACAAGGCAAGCATAGCAATGCAAACTAGCGAACAGAAAATGATTCTGGAATAATTAAGTTTAAAAAAACATTCCTTAGTGTACCATCCACTGAGCTTGTGAGGCGCATTTTTGGAACTAAATACAGCTCAGAAAGTCCCCGTCTTCTCTGTTTCAACTGCGAGCCTTACACATGTGTTTCCCATCGTGACTACACCCCAGTTTCATTACGCGTGGCGTTCAGTCAATTGGCACTGGCTAAAAACCAGCGAAAACGAAGCTGAGAAAACATGGAACATTTTACCCTGGCGCCTCCGGTATAGTTGGTTTCATTACGCCGCCTACCAGAAGTTGTTTTTCCTTTTTGAAAAAAAACTCAGTTTCAGGAAACAGTCAATAAATACAAGTAATATAAAAAATAAGCTTCTAGTAGTTACTGAGAGACTATTACGCCAATAAAAACGTAGATGAAAACTCATCGAGCCAAAACAATACTAAATGAGCCAAAAACGATCAGAAATTGTTGTCATAAAAAAGTTAAGAGCGATTAATTTTTGAAACAATAAAATTTTGAGAAACAGAAATATAAAGACAACCGAATTAAAAAGATTTTGAACAAAAATCAAACGACACAAAATAACTTCAAACAAATCAAAATATTTTAACTAAGACAATAAAACAAAACCGGAAACCAGTTATGCCAAAAATAGCTTTCATGCGAAGTAAAACAAACAAAATCAGGCTGAATAAATTTAAAAATTACAACAGTAAAATAAAAGCACATGCTATTACAAAAAAGCTTTCATCTGAAGAAAACGTTCGTGATGTGACAGCCCAGTCAAAAACAAATAAATAGACACACGAACGTCCGAAAATTCAATTTTTCCCGAACATACTGGAATAAAACAAGGTCTGACCGGGACTCGAACCTCAGACCATAGAGCACAAAGACAACTAGGTTACCTCTACACCAAATGCGAAGGAGATTGGAAAAATAATAAGTTTCAATAATAAAGCAAAAACTATTTTTTGCAGATTTGTAAAAGTTATTTATGAGGAAAAAGTCTAGCTCCCAATTATAAGACACTTGCTCTCGCAAACTTTCAAAACAGCAATTTCGTGAGAAAAAACGCGTTTGAAATTTCTAGATCTATTCGTTTTGTCCGATTAATTGAAATCAGCACTGTACAACAAATTATCCGAAAAAAACCCTTAGTAATATAAAATTATAAGATTATACGAGCGATCAGATTCATAGGATTAATTCATATACGAAACGGATAATGGCACTTTTCTTTTTTGGGATGATTTTTTCATTGAGTACTGCAAGATTGATTGATATTAGGGGTGGCTCAACTCCAAGGTCAAAATTTTTTAGAGTGATCAGAGATATCTATTAATGATTAAAGCAGCTACATATGCTAAGAAATAGCCAATGCCATTCAGCAAAAGTGGCACCAAATACTTAATGGACTCAATTTTGCAAATGATAAACTGTAATATATTAAACTGAAGGCATCCACACAAACTTTGCATGTAGCAAATTGCAAAAAATAAAGCCACATTATGTATAAATTATGCATTTCCAAAAAAAATGCGAGTTATATTGATGCGAGCGGGGCTTGGCATCACTTGGGCAACAAGGCAAGCATAGCAATGCAAACTAGCGAACAGAAAATGATTCTGGAATAATTAAGTTTAAAAAAACATTCCTTAGTGTACCATCCACTGAGCTTGTGAGGCGCATTTTTGGAACTAAATACAGCTCAGAAAGTCCCCGTCTTCTCTGTTTCAACTGCGAGCCTTACACATGTGTTTCCCATCGTGACTACACCCCAGTTTCATTACGCGTGGCGTTCAGTCAATTGGCACTGGCTAAAAACCAGCGAAAACGAAGCTGAGAAAACATGGAACATTTTACCCTGGCGCCTCCGGTATAGTTGGTTTCATTACGCCGCCTACCAGAAGTTGTTTTTCCTTTTTGAAAAAAACTCAGTTTCAGGAAACAGTCAATAAATACAAGTAATATAAAAAATAAGCTTCTAGTAGTTACTGAGAGACTATTACGCCAATAAAAACGTAGATGAAAACTCATCGAGCCAAAATAATACTAAATGAGCCAAAAACAACGATCAAAAATTGTTGTCATAAAAAAGTTAAGAGCGATTAAGTTTTGAAACAGTACAAGTTTAAGAAACAGAAATATAAAGACAACCGAATTAAAAAGATTTTGAACAAAAATCAAACGACACAAAATAACTTCAAACAAATCAAAATATTTTAACAAAGACAATAAAACAAAACCGGAAACCATTTATGCCGAAAATAGCTTTCATGCGAAGTAAAACAAACAAAATCAGGCTAAATAAATTTAAAAATTACAACAGTAAAATAAAAGCACATGCTATTACAAAAAAGCTTTCATCTGAAGAAAACGTTCGTGATGTGACAGCCCAGTCAAAAACAAATAAATAGACACACGAACGTCCGAAAACTCAATTTTTCCCGGACATACTGGAATAAAACAAGGTCTGACCGGGACTCGAACCTCAGACCATAGAGCACAAAGACAACTAGGTTACCTCTACACCAAATGCGAAGGAGATTGGAAAAATAGTAAGTTTCAATAATAAAGCAAAAACTAGTTTTTGCAGATTTGTAAAATTTATTTACGAGGAAAAAGTCTAGCTCCCAATTATAAGACACTTGCTCTCGCAAACTTTCAAAACAGCAATTTCGTGAGAAAAACGCGTTTGAAATTTCGAAATCTATTCGTTTTGTCCGATTAATTGAAATCAGCACTGTACAACAAATTATCCGAAAAAAAACCCTTAGTGATATAAAATTATACGATTATACGAGAGATCAGATTCATACGATTAATTCATATACGAAACGGATAATGGCACGATTCTTTTTTGGGATGATTTTTTCATTGAGTACTGCAAAATTGATTGATATTAGGGGTGGCTCAACTCCAAGGTCAAAATTTTTTAGAGTGATCAGAGATATCTATTAATGATTAAAGCAGCTACATATGCTAATAAATAGCCAATGCCATTCAGCAAAAGTGGCACCAAATACCTAATGGACTCAATTTTGCAAGTAATAAACTGTAATATAACAAACTGAAGGCATCCACACAAACTTTGCATGTAGCAAATTGCAAAAAATAAAGCCACATTATAAATAAATTATGCATTTCCAAAAATTGCAAGTTATATTGATGCGAGTGGGCCTTGGCATCACTTGGGCTACAAGGCAAGCATAGCAATGCAAACTAGCGAACAGAAAATGATACTGGAATAATTAAGTTAAAAAAAAACATTCCTTAGTGTACCATCCACTGAGCTTGTGAGGCGCATTTTTGGAACCAAATACAGCTCAGAAAGTCCCCGTCTTCTCTATTTCAACTGCGAGCGTTACACATGTGTTTCCCATCGTGACTACACCCCAGTTTCATTACACGTGGCGTTCAGTCAATTGGCACTGGCTAAGTACCAGCGAAAACGAAGCTGAGAAAACATGGAACATTTTACCCTGGCGCCTCCGGTATAGTTGGTTTCATTACGCCGCCTACCAGAAGTAGTTTTTTCTTTTTGAAAAAAAAAACTCAGTTTCAGAAAACAGTCGATAAATACAAGTAATATAAAAAATAAGCTTCTAGTAGTTACTGAGAGACTATTACGCCAATAAAAACGTAGATGAAAACTCATCGAGCCAAAACAATACTAAATGAGCCAAAAACAACGATCAGAAATTGTTGTCATAAAAAAGTTAAGAGCGATTAAGTTTTGAAACAATAAAATTTTAAGAAACAGAAATATAAAGACAACCGAATTAAAAAGATTTTGAACAATAATCAAACGACACAAAATAACTTCAAACAAATCAAAATATTATAACTAAGACAATAAAACACAACCGGAAACCATTTATGCCGAAAACAGCTTTCATGCGAAGTAAAACAAACAAAATCAGGCTGAATAAATTTAAAAATTACAACAGTAAAATAAAAGCACATGCTATTACAAAAAAGCTTTCATCTGAAGAAAACGTTCGTGATGTGACAGCCCAGCCAAAAACACATAAATACACACGAACGTCCGAAAATTCAATTTTTCCCGGACATGCTGGAATAATACAAGGTCTGACCGGGACTCGAACCTCAGACCATAGAGCACAAAGACAACTAGGTTACCTCTACACCAAATGCGAAGGAGATTGGAAAAATAATAAGTTTCAATAATAATGCAAAAACTATTTTTGCAGATTTGTAAAAGTTATTTACGAGGAAAAAGTCTAGCTCCCAATTATAAGACACTTGCTCTCGCAAATTTTCAAAACAGCAATTTCGTGAACGTCTTAAGAAGCAATCTGAACTGCCATTTCGAAATTGATCGCTATTCGCGTGTCTGAGCCTGTTTTAGGATAGTCAAAATATTTCGATGGGTTTCCTCTTGTCAGTTACCAAGACGAAGACAATGGTCAGAGAACAAATCCAATTGGAATAGTTTACAATGGGAAAGATTTTTGCGAGATAATTAATTTACCACCGGCGCACGAAATAATTTCTGATTGCTAGAGGAGATCTAATTTAGTAAGTGTTGCGATAAAAAAAACAAATTGATGAAAATCAAAATTTAAAAAGAAATAAATAACATTAAATTTACATGTAATAACATTTAAATAACATTAAAAAAATCCAAAAACACTTCCAAAATCTTGCAAGTGTAAACAAAGAAAACACATCAAGTACGAAGTAATTTATATTTTGTTTTCAAATCGTAATATGAAACGGAAGAAAAAAAGGCTCAATATTATTGCTTTTGTTTTAATTGGGGCAAGAAGGATTAAAAAAATTGGCGAGAAAAGAGTAACTCATGCCAAATTTTGAGATAAATGACCAAGGGATAAAGATTGTACTATTCTTTAAGATTTATCCAATCACCCCGAGGAGATAATATTACTGACACCCTTCCATATAACAATAATATGACACATAGCGTCACTCTGGTTTGTCTCTTGGGGCGACAAAAAAAATAAGTTGAAATTGAGCCAGTGCTTACAAGCTAAATATTGATTTCTTCGAAAAAGAAGAACTAAGCCAACTGAATTTCTTAAAACTACGCCTAATTTTTCTGGACAACCTCCGACTCATCATGACTGATAGCAGTGTTGTTCAGAGTTCCAAGTGAAGCTGACAAATTATTCCTGTTGGGGTCACTATAACCAGGTAAAGGATACAACAGAACTGGTACATTTGTTACCGCATCTATTGAGAACGATGCTACTCATTTGGTTAAAGCTATAAATTACAAGTCTAGATTTGAAAAAGAAAGGATCTATTTGTTGGTGCCGAATAACTAATTTATTTAGCTGTTACATATTTGAAAATTTCAGAGGCCGCACTACTGCGTTTTTTTCAAACCGCCGAAAAATTTACGGTTCAGCATCGCACAAAAATTTGGTAGTGTAGCATGTCACTAAGTACACAGAATCTAAACAAGACTGCTCGTATCAGGGCGAAGCCCTGAATGTTCCGACTGCCTTTTAAGGTTTATGGAGCAGTAATAGCATTTAAAAAAATCAATGAAATAAAACAAAATGAAAAAAAAAATGTTTCTAAAATTTTAAGTTTTTTATGAAACTCATCCCCCCACACGCCATATAAAGTACGAAAGGATAGATTTCGCTCCATGTAACAAACCAATTATGGCAAATAAGCTTCTTTTAACCAATTTGGAACAATTTCTAAGACGGATTAACTCTCCGCTTACGCGTTAATAGCGCGAAATATATCGCGCGTTAATTGTCTCGAATTGGCCAAAAGGGCAATCTTTAAACCCCCGTAACTCTACGAAAAATGATCACAGGTAAAATATCTTTTCAAATTTGTGCTCAGGACACCAATACCTTTCGAATGATATAAAAAGATTCCGTCAAAAATGGCTAGTTAAAAAGTCGAAATTTGTCTGAAGAAAAAAAAACCCACCCCGAGCACAAATATTCCGTTACTTTCGTATCGAAAGTCGGAATAAAAACTAATCTGCCAGCGTAAAACGATCTATTGAAGTAATTTGTTCTCTATTGTTTTTTGTTCTTCTTTATAATTTAAATTTTGATCTTGTTAACTATATCCCACGCCTCTATTGTTTCCGACAACCAATTCTGTATAAAACATACATTTCAAAAGTATCAACAATTAGTTAGGTTTCGATTTCCTTGCGTTCTATTTTGAATTACCCTCTATTTAACTGTGGCAATCGAAGTAGAAATTCTTAACCTTGCAATAGGTAGGTGTGGAAATAGTTAACAAGATCCAACACTTTAATTAACTGATAACAAGACTGCTCGTATCAGGGCGAAACCCTGAATAAACCCTGAATGTTCCGACTGCCTTTTAAGGTTTATTGAGCAGCAGTAATACATAAAAAAAAACAAATGAAATAAAATAAAATGAATTTTTTTTTAATTTGAAAATTTTTATGAAAATCATCCCCCCACACGCCATATAAAGTACAAAAAGATAGATTTCGTTCCTTGTAACAAATCAATTGTGGCAAATAAGCTTCGTTCAACCAATTTGGAACGATTTATAAGACGGATTAAATCTCGCTTACGCGTTAATAGCGCGAATTTTATTGCACGTTAATTGTTCCAAATTGGTCAAAATGGAAATCTTTAAACCCTCATAACTTAACGAAAAAAAATCACAGGTGAAATATCTTTTCAAATTTAAGCTCAGGACAACAATACCTTTTGAATGATATAAAAAAATTCCGTCAAAAATGGCTAGTTAAAAAGTCGAAATTTGTCTGAAGAAAAATAACCACCCCGAGCACAAATATTCCGTTACTTTCGTATCGAAAGTCGGAACAAAACCTAATCTGCCAGCGTAAAACGATCTATTGAAGTAATTTGTTCTCTATTGTTTTTTGTTCTTCTTTATAATTTAAATTTTGATCTTGTTAACTATATCCCACGCCTCTATTGTTTCCGACAACCAATTCTGTATAAAACATACATTTCAAAAGTATCAACAATTAGTTAGGTTTGGATTTCCTAGCGTTCCATTTTGAATTACTCTCTATTTAACTGTGGCAATCGAAGTGGAAATTCTTAACCTTGCAATAGGTAGGTGGAAATAGTTAACAAGATCCAACGCTTTAATTTACTGATAACAAGACTGCTCGTATCAGGGCGAAACCCTGAACGTTCCGACTGCCTTTTAAGGTTTATTGAGCAGCAGTAATGCATAAAAAAAAAACAAATGAAATAAAATAAAATGAATTTTTTCTTTAATTTGAAAATTTTTATGAAAATCATCCCCCCACACGCCATATAAAGTACAAAAAGATATATTTCGTTCCTTGTAACAAATCAATTGTGGCAAATAAGCTTCGTTCAACCAATTTGGAACGATTTATAAGACGGATTAAATCTCGCTTACGCGTTAATAGCGCGAATTTTATTGCGCGTTAAGTCCCAAATTGGTCAAAATGGAGATCTTTAAACCCTCATAACTTTACGAAAAAAGATCACAGGTGAAATATCTTTTCAAATTTAAGCTCAGGACAACAATACCTTTTGAAAGATATAAAAAAAATTCCGTCAAAAATGGCTAGTTAAAAAGTCGAAATTTGTCTGAAGAAAAAAAAACCCACCCCGAGCACAAATATTCCGTTACTTTCGTATCGAAAGTCGGAACAACAAACATCAATAGAAAAATGGGAATGATAATAATTAATTCCTCTCTGATTAAAAAGAAATGAACCACCAATTCTATTGTAACATTTGACCTGTTGTAGGATAAAAGGACAGAAGTATCGGTAGAATTGGGTCCCAGAGAAGAATCCGAGGAGTTTTGAGACCCCTTGCGACCACGAGTTGCTCCAGAAAACATTCAGCTAAGGTCGCCTGTCGTCTGTTATGTAAACACTTTTTTAACAGTAAGCACTCGGCCAAGAGCTGCCTGAAATTTCCATTTAAATGATGTAATACTAATTCGTAGAATGGTTTATGTGCAATTTTAAGGCATAAAGAAAGGTCATCGGATATATTTACACAATTGGCTCATCGTATTTTGTCTAAAACATTTATGTGAGCGCTCAAAATCTCAAACTCCTGTAGCGCTTTGCATTCAGGATAAGTTCGCAAACATAGAATATTACATCGAGTGAGTTAATAAGTTGGAGTTGTACCAGCATTTACAGAACACCGTCAATATCGAATCACAAAACATGAAATTCACTAACATATGAACCTATCACAAAACATGAACCCTTATAGTTTAACTGTTACGGCAAAACTTACATGGAGTCGCATATATTTAAGGTTTTTCTTGTTATCGTCTAAACAAAAGGTAACCCGTGGTGTTTTTCAAACAGGAATCAGTTAAAGTAAATTTACTTCATATAGATATTAAACAAAATAAATTTAAAAACTTTTGGATCAGCAAATCAGGTTTGCGGAATTTATAATCAGAGGCTGCTGCAGATATCAATCGCAAACGTACAAATAAGTTATTTAAGTTGACTTTTTTGTCATTAAGGTGAACATGAGCGTTTTACTTCAGACTATTCAGTTTCAGAGAACTTGATAAAACAAAGACATACTTAGTGCAGACCGCTCAGATTATTTAGCTGTTACACATTTGAACTAAAAATTAAGTGTAAAACCAGATCCAGCCCAGTTTTTCGAGTGGCTAGTTTTTGGAAATATGTGAATAACTTGATTTGGCGAGCATTCGAAATAATTTTTAACACAGAGGCGAAGCTGCTAGGAAACAAGCGACCAAAACGCAAAAAAACAGCTGTCAAAGGAAAAATCGAACACCACAGCTACAAGCCACCAATAAAGCGGACACACGCTATAAATTGCCAATGATGAAATGTATCACAGCAAAAGTGCCACCAAAAAAGAGGAGCGCTAATTTAAGCGAGCTGTGTAGGAAAAAAATCGACTGGTAAAATAAAACCACGCTCACAAGCTCGCTTGCCCAATGAACAACTGAATTACATGCCAAGTCATTTGCAGGATCTCAAATATAGCTTCGGATAGAAAACACGCAACAAATTAAGGCGCATCCTTCATCTGTGGTTTTCAGAAGGCTGCTCTACCCCCTTTCCCAAACACGGCCTCTTTTCTGTAATCAAGTGCCCATTTTTAACTGTAACCGTTGATATTACAAAGGATAAACATGTCTGTAATTACGTAGTGCATCGACAACTCACCGACACCGATTAAAACAGATTGATTTTTTCGAATATTCCTCAATATTCGCAATGTAAAATTCAATTTCAAAGTTGCAATGAAACTTGGTATGCTGTAGAAAATAGGCCAACTGTCGAAACTTAAAGCCTTTCAAGAAAATTCGCGAAATTGGCACTTTCGTTACTATGAGCATAAGGCGCGTAATATTGGCATGAATTTGAATCGAACTTGAAAACTCAGACAGATCGCGAAAATTAAAAAATACGTAGAGTAACTTTTACGACCGAAAAAAGACCTTTAAAATTGATAAATCACATCGTTTATTAGGACCTAATAATATTTTATTTAAGGTGGTCGCTTTCACGGTATAACCCAAGTCCATAATTCCTTCCTAAATTATCGAAAAAGAATACAAATCAATCCGGTGCTAGGTTAATAAGACAAGACATTAAGACGACAAATTATGCAAATTGAAGTGTTCGAAATTAAGCGAACTCTACGTCTCAAAAATACAATTGAAGAATTTGTGTAGCGTCGTCTTAAAGTCCTACCAAAAACAGTTGTTGTCTTAACAGCTGTCGTCTTATTTGCCTGAGACCACAAAATCCGATCTGGACTTTTTTTGTACAACACTTTCGCTCAGTTTATTGCTATTTTTCTCAAACAAAAATTCCAAGAAAAAAATCCAGGAAAAATCACTTACCTTTTGATGTCCGAAGAAACTCATCGTCGTTATTGTTAAAAATCTCTGCTGCGTCCGTAAGGCACTCAATGTCTGAAATTGTCTTCGCCGTATCTGCATTTTGATCAGAACGAGTCATATCGGTAATATTTCCTCCATTCTCCGCCATTTTAATCCAGGATTTTGGAGCTGTTATATCAGCCAGAAAAGGTGCTAAACGGAATAGGATATAATAAAGACACAGCTTCATTTTGAATTTTGCTAACGGTATTTCAACTTTATGAGATTTCAAGTTACGCTGATTCGTTTATTAGCTTGAATGAAAACCGCAAAACTAACTTTTGAGCTCATTTGTGCTTACGACTGTTTCAAATCAAATAAAAGATCTCAGAAATGCTGTCACACAATAACTTACATGAAGAGGCATAAGTATATTCCGGAAACGTTCTTTTTGACAGCGCCCATGAATTGACAACACACGATTTTACATTTTTACAAAGGACAATTTTTACATATAACTCTGAAATACACAACTACATCTCTTACCTTTAGTAGATTGATATCTATGATCGTTTCAAAGTTTCGCACCCTCAGAAAAGGGCAGATTATTTCGAATAGATAAATCTTCTGATTTTCAAACTCAAAACCATAAATGTTTGCATAAGTAAGTAACTCCAAATGAGTCCGGATGCTCCAGAGATAAACTTGTTTTAATTCACAAAAGAAACAAGCGTAGTAACAAAACCAAGGTACGGCAACATGAACCGAAATCATAAGACAAGACATTAAGACGACAAATTATGCAAATTGAAGTGTTCGAAATTAAGCGAACTCTACGTCTCAAAAATACAATTGAAGAATTTGTGTAGCGTCGTCTTAAAGTCCCACCAAAAACAGTACGGCAACATAAAAAACTCGGAGCTTTGAGCAGGTGGACAAAATTAACGCAAATGTTTTTCAGTTAAAAATGCTCGTTTTGCATGTTCTTTTTGGACAAAAATTACTTTGAATTTAAACAAAAGTTGAAATAGACTGCGTAACAGTCGCCTACTTAAGTCACATATAAGGTTAAAGAAAAATAGGCCCTATAACCATTGGCTCAACAGTCAGGGGCACTATCTCTTGTGTTTTGCTACCTCAAACAGTCGGATCCAATTCGGTTCACTTGCGACATGAGACTAAAAGCATCGTCGTAACCATCATTTAAAAACACCGGCTCAAAATCCATATTACAAGTACAAATTTATAACCACATCAAATGGAATTAACGTGGAGAAAACTCCCGGGGCCAGCGGGGCAGATGGGAAGGTATCCAATCATCGGTGGTGGATCAGTTCATTGACAAGAAGCGGGTCCGGGTCGCTTTTGAACGTCTCAATAATAGCTGCAGCATTTCCCATTTGCACTGCTACTCCCAAACGTTGTCTTAGATATTCAGTTGCTCTCTTCTCTCCTGTGGCAAGAAATATCCGTCTACCCAAATCATTAACAAAATCGAGGGTGCTAGGGCCGAGTCCACCTAATGTCTCTACTGCAACTGGCTGGAAGAAGTGTGTCTGTGCAGTGGCCGAGTATTTACTGACTTTTCGAGACTCGGCAAGTTCAGCGACACATGGATCAGGAGTAGCTGCTTGGGTGGAACATGAGGCGGCTAGGCCATGCACGCAGGTGAAATCCCACGCCATGGAGCGACCTAAGCGCCAGGGCATCAGGGTAACGCCGTCTAGCCTTTTGTTGTCGTCTCGGAACATACCTGCTGGTTCCAATTCTGCTGGAATATGAGCACTCTGCAGGGTTTTGTGGATAATCTCGTTGCCAAGTTGGTGCCTAGCATGGCGACTCCGACTGCGAAGACAGACGAACGCGAGTGACTCGTCCGCTTCAACCTTGGCGCCACACCAACAGGTGTGTGAGGAGCAAATTGGTGCACCTAGTCTGAAGCTAACGGCGAATCTCAGCTGCTCGTCTGACATATGCAAACCTAGAGATCTCGAGGGCATAGCGTTGAGCCAGTCGCTCGCTCCTTTACAAGCAGCTCCATGTAATCTGGCGGCATCGCTGGCTGTGGCTTCCTGGAGAAACTGGCTAACTTGTTTTTCCGTGATTTTGTCGTATATTTCGCGCTGTTTAAGAGATCGCGGGGGAGCTCCATCTGCTGTGAAAGCATCGAAGTTAGTAAGGGCGTCCGTTATTACGTCAGTTTGAGAAATGGCATAGACCTGCTGTGCTAGATCTTTGACTGAAAGGAAAGACGAGAGGTACGAAACGACAGCCAGTTTAGTAGGAGGTAAGATACCAAGGCCTCCAGAACGGGCTGGTAGTCAGGCTTGCTGCCACGCAGCAACATCTATCTTGATGTTTATGATGTTTTCCAGAACACTTATAACTGTGTTCTCAAGCGTGAGAAGGAGGTCAGTTCTTCGATAGACTTCTGATGTTCGAAAGAAGTACATCAGCTTAGGAATGAGAAAACAATTCTTCAGCAGGAATAGAGCACAGTGTGAGGATACGTGTTTCAGCCCTCTTTCATCAGGAGGATGGCTTTCAGCTTCTGGTTGAAAATAGTTTCAATCGAGATCGGTCCCAAGGCAGAGCCAAGAAGCTCAACTTCAGAGTCCTGAACAGTCTTGATCCTGGGGCACAGAAGCTTGAACTCGTTGGTAACCTTGGTGCGAAACTCATGATTAGAACTGAAGAAAACAATTTCTCATCGTTCAAGGACAAGCCGACTTTTTCGATCTCAGCCATGACAAGGCGAAGATCTCCAATGACAATCTTCCAGTCGTCGCCTTTAGTGATGTCGTCAATATAGGCAATTTTCAATCTGGCCTTCAATCTGACGATAAATCTGTGGATGGACAGACAGAAAAGGAAAACCGCTAGAGGGTCTCTTTGTTGGAACCCTTCCTCAGAGACAATGAACCCTTCGCCGAAAGACAAGAAGCTTCCCTGTTCGTAGCAAAGTCTGTAGAACGGAAGAAGTTCCGGCATTTCTTCTGCAAGGAGTTCAGCGACATAGTCTCTTCTAACGGTGTTGAACGCATTGCTGAAGTCCAGCTTTAGCAGAACATCGTTTTCGTTAGCGCTTTTGATGAACGCCCGAACAGCATGGACCGCAGCTTCCGCTCCTCCCCGGGTGCCGAACCCAACTTGAAGGGGAGCGAAGTAGGATTTGAACTTCGAACTGGCAATACTGGCTGCACATTTGCGAGCAACTCGGCGCAGTGTGTCTCCCACAGCAATAGGGCGCAGGCCTCCGTTGGGCTTGTTGAAAGCACTCAAATTGGCGCCAGCAATTAAAGGTTTTATTCTGTCTGGAACCTTTCCGGATAGGAGAAGGTTAACAAACTCAGTAAGCGCTGACTTCAGGTTCGAGGCGTCTTGACCAAGTTTATCACTTAGACAGTCCTTCACATGTTGAGGACGCAAACAAGTGGTACCTCCTGCAGATCCTGGCGCGAAGCTCATGACAGCCCTATAGACATCGTCTTTATTAACAATTAGAGTAGTGTTAACGTTTTGCGGATGAACTCTTCTGTCCAGTGGTGTTTCCGGATGCTTACTCTCAAGTTTCTTCAGAGTAGTTGAATCAAACGGGGCAATCGTGGCATCAGAGGAAGCAAGTCTGACAGCGCCACGAACATCACCTTCATCAAATTTTTCGGAGATTTTACGGTTGTCGGCAGGATCCGATTTCCGTTTCATTGTTTTCTCGGAAATCCGGTTGCCAGCGACGAGCAAGCGATCGTTATCCGCGTTCTCGAACTCCTGGATTTGCTGATTGAGGATAGTAGCAAGTGACTTACGTTTTCTGGTTCCGCCCCGATCTGGTTGACGAAAGCAACTAGTTACTGCTCTAAACAGTTTGACCCAGTTGAACTCGTCTTCGGGGCTAGCAACGACTTGGCACAAGCAGTCCTTCAGCAGTTTAGCAAAGTGACGCCTACTAGCTTTCGGAATAAGCTTTACCACATTTGCGCGTGTTTTCTTGAGGAGATCCAGGATGTTGTTGGGACTCCGCATGGTGTTTGTCTCACCTCGGGAGCTGCACGAAGGGCAGGAAAATACGTCGTTCGATCTGCCCAGGCGTGTTGCTTCCTTCGCATTGATACCCGCGCATGAGAAGTGATACCACATCTCGCAGTAGTCAAATTGGATTCCTCTGCTGACAACGCGTTTCCCGAATCTGCGTTCTGCTCGTCCACAAGGGGCAGGTCGACTGGGCATCTTGTCGTGATTCCGGGATCAGTCACCATTAACCGGAAACTATTTAATAAGTTTATCACAACAATTAGACTAAAACCTTTGTTACAGCTTAAAGGCCACTACCAAAATACCCCCCACTCTAGAAAAAAAGAACGTCCCCATACTTAGGTCTCAAAATACCTAAAACACGCGAACGCCGTTAAAAACAGGGTCAGAACAATCCGTAAAGCTACTTTTTATTAGACAGTGGAACTTTGATCCATTTCAGATGGATCAACCTAAAACTCTCCTTATCTCAACATAACATTATAAAACACACTCAAGAAATTTAAATTGGGTACTCACATAGCGACACGACCTCTAGAATCGAAAAACTAAACTATAGAGCAACTCTAGAATTGACGGGTAATTAAGTTTAACTCGAGAAGTTTGCAATGAATTAGTTTTAGCTCAAGAAATAAGTTTTGGGTCTGGACCATTGGGAGACTTCGATTGTCCACCTTTCCACTCTGGTCTACTTGAATTTTACTCTCCTTTCACTCGCGATAATTTTCTGTCTCCTGCCACGAATAAGACAGCTCTACCGTCGTTCGAATTATGTATCGGAAATTGCGAATAGCAGTTTCCCGCTGCTACTTTTGTCCACTTTGCCGCGATTGTATTCGAATCTTCTAATCTTATTTTTCTGATATTTTCAGTAGTCGCGAGAAAATTGAGCATGACATGCTCAACTCGAATGTTTGAAAATTTGCTTTTCACCCCAAAATCAAGACTAAAAGTTTTCTCAAGGTCAAACTTCCAAATTTGACCGACTTGCACATACTTCCCGGACTCAAGATCGATGTCCTCATGTAACAGTCGCCTACTTAAGTCACATATGGGGTTGAAGAAAAATAGGCACTATAAACATTGGCTTAAGAGTCAGGGTTACTATCTCTTGTGCTTTTCTTTATCGAACGGTGGGAGCCAATTCGGTTCACTTGAGACATGAGACTAAAACCCTCGTTACAGCTTAAAGGCCACTACCAAAATACCTCCCAATCTAGAAAATAAGAACGTCCCCATACTTAGGTCTCAAAATACCCAAAATAGGCGAACACCGTTAAAAACAGTGTCGGAACAGTCCGTACAGTTACTTTTTATTAGACAGTGGAATTTTGATCCATTTCAGATGGATCAACCTAAAACTCTCTTTACCTCAACATAACAATTATAAAACACACTCAAGAAAACTAAATTGGGTACTCAAATACCAGCACGCTCGAGAATTGGAGTAACTAATTTAACTAGCGACTCTAGCATAAATGTAATAACTTAAGAAGTTTGCTATTAATAAATTCCAACAAAGGAAATGATTTTTCACTCGAGAATTAAAGTTTTGGTTTGGACCATTGGGAGGTTTCGGTTGTCCACCTTTCCACCAAAGGTTCACTCTGGTCCACTTCGAATAAATGTATTCTTCTTTCGCAATCGTTTTGTCTCCTATTTCAGGATAGGACAGCTCTACTCTCGTGTGATTTTTATGTCTGGAAATTGCGAACAGCAATTTCCCGCTGTTTTTTTAAAAATATTTTTCCGCGATTGTAATTCGGTTGTTCTAATCTTGCATTTCTGAGATTTTCAGTCGCGAGAAAGTTGAGCATGACAGGCTCAATTCGAAATTTTGAAAAATTACATTTCACCCCAAAATTACTTCGTTCGTATTTCCCAAGGTCAAACTTCCAAATATGACCGACTGGCACATACTCCCCGGACTCAAGATCGATGTCCTCATCGCGTGTTGCCGTCTGCCAGTGAATCCCCAGAATGCTGAGTGTTGCTCAAGATACAGTGTCAGTGGTCATTTACAGAAGTTTGCAGCAGATTTTTAACTTTATCTACACCCCAAAATTCACAACCATATAAAATTGTCACACTATCGCTGAGCAGAAATCAAAATTTGCATATACCTGCACCTTTAATCTCCGTTTTTGAAGCTAATGATTAAAATTATTTTTGTCTTATCCAATCGGAAAAGCCTCATATGTGACCATCTGAAAGAGTCTCGAGATATGGCCGACTGGCACAGAGAAAGTTGATTGGAACTTTCTCTGTGCCAGTCGGTCATTTTTGGAAGTTTGACCTTGAGGAATACGAAATACGTAGTTTTGGGATGAAGTTTAATTTTTCAAAAATTCGAATTGAGCCTGTCAAGCTCAGTTTTCTCGCGACAACTGAAAACAGCAGAAATAAAATCAGAACGACCGAATCGCAATTGCGGGAAAGTGACAGAAAAAACTGCGGGAAATTCCTATTCGCAATTTCCGAGATTCTAGTAAACAACACGAGAGTAGAGCTGTCCTATCTTGATATAGGAGACAGAGTGATTACGAAAGAAAATCGAAATTCAGCTGAACCAGAGTGAAACTTCAGTGGAAAGGTAGACAACTGAAGTCTCCCAATGGTTCAGACCCAAAACTGTATTCTCAAGTTAAAACTCATTTCCTTTGATTGGAACTTATTGATAGCAAACTTCTCTAGTTATACTCAATCTTATTTATTCTAGAGTTACTAATTAGCTTAATTACTCTGATTCTCAAGTGTGCTGCTATGTAAGTACCTAATTTATTTTTCCCGAGTGTATTTTGTGATAAGTATTTTGAAATAAGGCGAGTTTTAGGTTGATCCATCTGAAATGGATCAAAGTTCCACTGTCCAATAAAAAGTAACTTAACGGATTGTTCCGATCCTGTTTTTAACGGCGTTCGTGTATTTTGGGTTTTTTGAGACCTAAGTATGGGGACGTTCTTATTTTCTAGAGTGGGGGGGGGGGTGTTTTGGTAGTGGCCTTTAAGCTGTAACGGATTCTAGTCTCATGTCGATAGTGAACCGAATTGGCTCCGACCGTTTTGAGTAGAAAAACACAAGAGATAGTGTCCCTGACTCCTGAGCCAATGGTTATAGGGCCTATTTTTCTTAAGCCTCATATGTGACCGGAGTAGGCGACTGTTACATAGTGTTTTTATGGCGCTCCTGGGTGTTTTTAACGTGGTTCACAAGGATCTAGCTGAACCGCTAGGAGACTTGACTGGAAGAGGTGACAGCTAAGTGGGAAGGTGGTGCTGGTGTCAAGTGCAGTGCACGTCAAGGGGAAAACCAGCACGGGACCGGTACAACAAGAAGAAGACGCGCAGGGGTGTTCTCAAGTTGGACAAAAGGGTAACGTTAAAATCCACATTACATTATAGGAAATGAGTGTAAAATTGGATAAGCGGAAACCCCATTGTTTTGAGGAAGTTTTTACTCAAGCAGGCCTGGAAACAGGTCTACGGTTTTCACTCGAGAGGTTTAGCACCCGGCGCTTAAGGGAATTTTCGGCTTAAGAGGGGGGCTAAAGGGGGGGATGTTAGAGGGGGGGCTGGTTAAGTTAAAGGTTGGTGGTTGTAAAGTGTAAAAAGGGGGGACACATTAGAGTAACTAATTGCTCGGCATCGTCGATTTAGTTACATTAGATTCTTACACGCGTCGGTTATAAGAAGCGGATATCCAAATTTAACATCGAAATAAGGTAGGTACCCTGGTCGGATTAGTAGGGGGGAACGGACATAGACAGTTTTTGTGATACCCCATAACATCGCTAGCAGGGGGGAGGAAAACGCGTGGCAATCGGGTACCAGACGTTTTTTTTCGGACAAAGGTTGACATCTGTCAGTTTTGAATTTTAGGTGGCCTCATCTCTCTGTTTTTAAACTGTTTCCTGTTTAAGTTTTTACGTTTTGGTGAGATTTTGTTATTGGTATTTGAACGAACAGGTGATCACAAAATACCTGCGAAGAAGTTGGGTTTCGAATTGCCTGAGACAACGAAAGGGAGATAAATACAGGGGGGTCAGTATTTGAAGCTTTTGTCCATTAAGATAGGGTTTTTGGGAATTTTTTTTACTAGAGCTGAAGTGGTGGTACACGGTACAGTGGTTCAAGAGTCCCGACAACGAAGAGGAAGAAATCCTACTGTCCAGACACTTGGTGACAAGTCTTGGGACAGTACCGAAGAAATCTTGGGACAGTGCAGTCTGGGAACGGTCTTGGAGCAGTGCAGTCTTGGGACAGTCTTGGGAGAGTGTAGTCTTGGGACAGTCTTGGGACAGTGCAGTCTCAGGACAGTCTTGGGCCAGAGCAGTCTTGGTACGGTCTTGGGAAGTACAGTCTTAGGACGGTACGGTCTTGGGACAGTGTAGTGTTGAGACGGTGCAGTCTTGGGACGGTGCGGTCTTGGGACACTGGTCTTGGGACAGTAGTCTTGGGACAGTAGTCTTGGGACAGTAGTCTTGGGACACTAGTCTTGGGACAGTAGTCTTGGGACATCAGTCTTGGGACAGTAGTCTTGGGACGGTGCAGTCTTGGGACGGTGCGGTCTTGGGACACTGGTCTTGGGACAGTGGTCTTGGGACAGTAGTCTTGGAACGGTAGTCTTGGGACAGTAGTCTTGGGACACTAGTCTTGGGACAGGAGTCTTGGGACATCAGTCTTGGGACAGTAGTCTTGGGACAGTAGTCTTGGGACAGTACTCTTGGGACACTAGTCTTGGGACAGTAGTCTTGGGACAGTAGTTTTGGGACAGTACTCTTGGGACACTAGTCTTGGGACAGTAGTCTTGGGACAGTAGTAGTGGGACACTAGTCTTGGGACAGGAGTCTTGGGACAGTAGTCTTGGGACAGTAGTCTTGGGACACTAGTCTTGGGACAGTAGTCTTGGGACAGTAGTATTGGGACACTATTCTTGGGACAGTAGTCTTGGGACAGTAGTCTTGGGATACTAGTCTTGGGACATCAGTCTTGGGACAGTAGTCTTGGGACAGTAGTCTTGGGACAGTACTCTTGGGACCCTAGTCATGGGACAGTAGTCTTGGGACAGTAGTCTTGGGACATCAGTCTTGGGACAGTAGTCTTGGGTCAGTAGTCTTGGGACAGAACTCTTGGGACACTAGTCTTGGGACAAAAGTCTTGGGACAGTAGTATTGGGACACTAGTCTTGGGACAGTAGTCTTGGGACAGTAGTCTTGGGACGGTAGTCTTGGGACACTAGTCTTGGGACAGTAGTCTTCG